TCCTGACCATCATAATACATAATTTTCAATTTGTAAATATTGGCAATAAAAAGACTGTAAAAGGAATGAAGAAGAAAAGAGGAAAGGGACTTAATGGAAGAGAAACTACAATTACTGCATTAGTAGAAGAAATAATATTAGGTTGTCACTTTGTCATCGCTAGTTATTCTAATAGCAGGCATCATCTTGATTTTTAAGCTTCTGTGGCTTCAATAGACAAGCATAATGTTTGATGTATGCCATCTTGAATGCTAATTTTTACTGATGGCAATCATAGGAATCCTGATGGAATTGAAAATCATTAACTTCAAAGTCTAAAACTCACTGACTACAAGCAAGTGTACTAACTGCATACATGAGTCCATCAGAATCCCATAGGCATATAAACATATGCATTATTTAGAGAATCCATTGGGAGATTTAGGCTACTTTTTATGCTTTTCAAACAACAAATTTTCAAAAATCTAATGCAACTTTGAACAACGGTTATTTTATTTTTTTCACCATTTAAAGTGATCACTGGCCCATCAAAAGCAAACACAGTAAAACGTTTTACCGCAAAACGAGTTACGGTATTAAAAAGAGTGAATGGAAACAATTCTGTTAATTAGAAATTGGAAAGAGAGGTTGCCTTCATTATTCAAAGAATGACGTTTTTGTGAGGCATGAATGCATATCTTCACCAATGATATGGAAAATCTTGTTCGACTGATTGTAGTCGAACAGTATTCAATTTCTCTCTCCCTCTTTAAAATATCAAACCTTTTTAAACTCTCTCAACTTTTCACACCCAGCCATCAATGGATAAGGTTTAGTCTTTTATGTTGTTAAGGGAAAATTTCTTGGTTAGGAACTTGGAAGAAATCTTTTAAATGTGAAGATTAAAGAAAAAGCATAAAGACCAAGTGAATTCTAAACAAATATTGCATCAACAAATAAAGAGATTTTTTTAAAAACTTCCTTCTGATAATTTTGCAAAAAAGATGAAAGTTATGAAATACAAACATTACAAAAAACAAACAAAATGTAAAACAAAAATTTCTTAAAAATGTTTTGAAAGTTTAAAATTCAATTGATGGATGAACTTGAAAATGTTGGGCAGTTTGCAAGATAAGATGACTGTAAAATTAATGGCACATTTTGAAAAATTATTTTTGAAGCATATTTTCTCCTTTTCAAAAACACTTTTCAAGGATCAAAGACTGTTTTTATTCCTTTTTTTATTAATTTACTATAAATTTAAGTGTTTATTGAAAAAAATCAATATATTTTATAACATTTTTTTAATATACAACTTTAAGAGTGATGAAATATTTTAAGAAAACATTGTTAATTTAATTTGCTTGCAGATGTCAATGACAAACAGAGAAAGAAAAATTGTTTTGTTTGTGGGGATTTCAGCTGAAGAAGGGGAACTTTTACTAAAACAGAAAAATTCAATTTGATATAATTAATTTTACTTTGGTTTAGTATTTGTTTTAAGTCATGCCTAAAATAACTGTCCACCTAAAAATTTATATTAAAAAACATTTTAAACTTTTATCCAGAATTTCTCTTACGATTGATATTTTTAATATTTTCCTATTTAGTTTAAGTCTCACACTTTCAGTTAAAAATAAATAAATCTACTCATTTATTAACAGAAATTTAGATCAAAATAAGTAAAGAAACAATAATAGATTTTAAGTTACTTTTCAGGTGAAAACAATATTTAAAAATTTTACAAAATTGCTAGAATTTCCTATTGATATTTTTCTATAGATAAAAGTAAAAAAAGAGAAGCTGACAAAGGATTCACAGTAAAAGTGAATAAAGTATTCTTTGTTAAAAAGTATCAATATTTCAATCATCACAAATATCAACTCTAAAACATTTAGTAAAGAGACAGAAATAATAACTTAACAAAGGAAAGAGAATAAAGACAAAAATTAGGATTATTTAATAAAACTCAACTTAAACAAGAGCCATAATTGAATGTTGCCATCATTAGTGATTTAGTTTTGTAATTGTAGAAAAATTACAATTACTTACTTTTTGTTCATCTTAGTAAAATAAAAGAATTCATTATAAGGAAAATTACTGATCATATTTATCTTGTTACTGAAGGGAAACAAAAATACAATTTGGGAATGAGAATAAATAAAATAAAGATGTTTGACTGTTAAAATGTCAGTATCAACATTATAAAATAAAACTTTTTTAAACAATTGAAGAAATATAGCATTTTTTTTTTCTTTATATAATTTCATCTCTAATTGATATTATTGTCTGTATACTTTCATCTTTTCTTTTATGTAGAAGAAACCTTTCATAAGATTATATTTTTGGATGTAATTTTAAATATAGAAAAGAAGTGACAAGAGAAGACGATCATTTTTTATCTGAATCATTAACTTTTAAATTTATTCATCTCAATGTAGATATTTTGATTGCAAGCAGCTGAGGATTAATTCAAAATATTCTTGATTGACTTAATATAATTAAATTAATTGACCATCTGTTTTTACTTCACAGTTATTTTTATATTGTAATTTAAACAAAAACTACTTGAGTTAATTAATGTTTTTACACTGTGTTTATTTTTCTTCATCCATTTATTATTTACAATGTCTATTTTCATTTCATTTATCATATCAAATTTGTTTCTTTTTTATATTGATTTCTTTTTCGTTATTCATTATTGACAGCATTGTGGGTACTTTTATAATTAAATCAATTTTCACAACATGGCAAATGATTATTTTATTTTTGGTGGGATAAAGCCACAAATGCCTCTCAAAAATTAGTACCAAAGCTTTCTTTAATTCATAGGGCACAACTTGCTTCTCACTTAAACTTTCTGGGACTCTTCTTACAATGAGTGCAGATTTGTGTTATTGACTTTTACCTTTTTAAGCATTTTAGATGAATGTTTTAGATGATTCTATGAAATCAAGAAATAGTTGCAACTATCCTATACTATAATATGCAATTTATTAGTTATGCTGTTGTCATAATCATAAAGCTAGACATTCTTGTTCATTTTTAACCGAAAACATTGTTATTCTAAATTCATCATGTGTTGCTGCTTATATTTCTATCTAAACTCTGAGCAGTCACATTGACTAATTTCATGACCAATATTCCAACTTCTTCCAAATAATTGTGTTGGTTGTTAAACTTTATTCTATTTTGAAGTAAGGTATTTTTTTATTGTGTTGTTAGTATCTATAGAAAACATATGCATGAGTGAACATTCCTCAAACACTCACCAATTTGTAACCAAATTTTTTATTTATTATACAAAATTTTAAGCTCAATTATGAAGGATACTATTTGTTTTGGAAATATTTTGATAGATTACCTGATTGATTCTTTATTTCTATGATTTTTTTCTTTTACAATTTTAAGGAATAAATTATTTTTCTTGAAGCTGGGAAATTCTGTATAATTGAGCTTCAAGCATCCTTCTTCAGAATTCAAGTCCATATCAAGCCTAAAAACAAATAGTATCCTGTAACTTATTTAGCCAAACTTTTAATAAATTAATCCAGTTAAATATTAGTTTTATTATGAAATCCATTCTTTTGTATAATATTTTACTCTGGTTGCGTTTGTCCAATATATACATTACTAAATAATATTATGCATTCTTTATTCATTGATAAATAATAAATGTACATTTTTTATTCATTATATAATTAATAAAGAATAGATCTTATTATTTAATAATAAAGAATGCCTATTATTATTCAGTAATGTAAGCTTGTTTCACAATTGCTATTCAACCTGCTTATCAATTACAAGGTTGACATTATTTAATAAAAACATAAAAACAATTTAATTATTCATGCACCATGATAAATTTGATTGGCAAAATAAAATATTTGATGATAAATTGTAGATAAAATTGAGCTTGTCAGTAAAAGTGACATATAAAAATCAAAAGGAACAAAAATACTAAATACACAAAATGAGAAAATCTCTCTTGTAAGTTTGAATTCTGTGAATTTTATATGTATTGACTTTTCAGTTTAGAAATATTTACAAAAGACAGACATTTTATTTATTCTTGCAATCAAATAAGAGACTTTATAAAATTAATTTGAATCACTTTAGCAATTGCTATTCCAACACATTTTCAATAATGACTTAAGGAATGTTTGAAACAGAAAAATAGAAAATTATGAATTTATTGGTTTTATATGAAAATATTTATTTTTCAAGAATTCAACTATTTATGAAACATTGATAATTCAAAATTGATGTTGTCATTGAATTTTATAAAATAAAATCATTTTTGTAGAATCCTAATAACTGTTTTCTTAGACTTATTTATCTTCACCTTACACACCTGTATTGCTCTATTATGGCTTATTGCAAATGTTTATCAAATCCAATTAAGGTTTGAAAATTATCATATATATATATATATATATATATATATATATATATATATATATATATATATATATATATATATATATATATATATATATATATATATATATATATAGAAAAATACTTCAATTTTAATGTAGATTTTAATTTCTGACAATATGGTACTTCTGCATATAAATTAAAGTGTTTTCAAAATGAAACAAGAATTTAAAGCAGAACTGACTTTTATATTTCATACTTGAACAATTCTCCATTTTAAAAATAAAATAGTTCTTATTTATATATATAAAAATATATTCTTTTTCTATAAGAATACTTACATATTTTTTTATACATATAATTATTTTTGAATTGAATATAGAAGATATCAAATGAAAATGAGAAAATACAAAGAAAAACTAAATTACAAATAAGATCTAAATTTTAAAAAATCAGTACACATTTAAGTATAAGCAGCATAAGATAGGAAGCTGTGAGGACCCATGCATGTGTCTCCACAGCGTCCAAAGAGAAAGAGATCTACTCAGTATTGATCTTTTTGTAGAGGTTCATCATGGTAATCATTAATTTTCTATTGATTTATTTCATAAACACAAATGATTTAAGCAAAATTTGCCTACCTTTCTCAAAATTGATCTGTCGCTCATGATGTCTAGCATTCTCAGCAGCAACTTTCAAAAGTCCTTGGATATTCAACAGCAGTGTTTCTATTGAAGATACACTTGGAGCTTCACCATTGAGGACCTGAGATGAAAAGTGATGTGTTTGTGTGGAGGTTTTATCTGTTGTGTCACCATTAGGTATTGTGTCACTTGCATCAGCACTGTCATCTAAATCTGAAATGAGATAGAAAATCTTTCAATGTCTAATGTAAAAAATAAACAAAAAATACTTTTTCATTAGAATGAATTGACCTCTTTCCTTCACTTTTATAAAAAATGTTTATACTACTAGGATTATTTTCTGAACTTAATATGAAAACCTTGATTTTTATGGGGTTCATAAAAAAAGTTTATAGCAAAAAAACAAATTTTCAACTATTTAATATCTAATTTTCAAAAAAATTGTTGGAAACATTTTCATACACACCTAATTTCTTGTTAAAACAAAATCAGTGAACAAATTTAAATTGTGAGATGATTAATATTATATTTTTTGTGATATTGAAATAAGGCTTGCCTTGTTTACATATGAGCACAGAGATTCATATGTATAGTCCTTCTACTACTGAGGAAGAAACATTCAAGTAATATGCCTTGAATCACACACTTCACAACATAAATAATGAAATGTGAATATAGAAAACTTATATATTATAATATATATATAGAAAATGAAAGTGTTTTGTAATTATTGATTACCATAAAATATGATAAACAGTAGACATATTGGTTATATTTTATCATTATTTTTATAGATGGAAAATTTAAAAAATGATATTTTGTTAAAAGCCAGGAAAATATCATTGAAAATAAATAGGACACTGTCATCTGAAGACTTTGATCTTGTGTCAAAAAACATGAGCCAAATAAGAAAATAAATATGAAAATAAGAGTTATTTCCCTTTTGACATTATTTCACTTATCAAGTTAATGTAAAACTAATGAAAATAAAATCGATCTTAGTTTCAAAATGTTATTATTGTATTACATTTTGTCACAAAAAAGATTCTTTGTTTTTCAGTAACAAAGAAAGTTGTCACTTTTATTTCTCAAAGTCATTGTGTTTGTATAAAGTCTGAAGAAAATAATTTTTTATTTTCCACATCCTCTCTTAGAAATTAATTTTCTTATTTATTTTAACAACATAGAATCTGGCCCTTTCTTTTCTAGAAAAATATTTATTCGAGATTATCTACAACTCTATAGAATCTGGGAACCATTTTTCTTTAGAGTAAGTGAGGTAAAATGATTTTATGATTTCTCATTCTAGAATTTTACAGAAGTAATTTGCGATGAGAAGCTTTTAAAAGTTTGTCTAGAATAATTTTTCTTACTTTATTTCAAGTATCTTTGTGAGTTATTATTAAAAAGACTTCCATATTTACATCAATGATAACATATCCATTTTCCTTGACCTTAGCTCTACAAATTTTAAAACATACCTTAGTCTTTATAATAATTACTTTTCTTGAACAAAATGAAGAGTAATTTCCTGAAAGTCTAGTTCATATAAGTTTAGATTTAAACTTATTCAATAAAACTAATTCAGTCAGCAGAGACAAATAATGTCCGTGGAAGAGCATCCAAAATGTGACCTTAAATTTGAGCAATGGCGAAAACTTGTGCTGTTGATTTGCAGCTGGGGCTCATGATGTGAAATTGATGAGATCAGTAATCTGCTAGAGCAGGCATCAAGAATGACAATAGAAGAGCAGTCAAAAGAAAGGCTGTAAGATAAGCTAAGTCAGGGGAGGGGGTGAAGAGAAAGGGCAGCTATTTACAGGATGCCTGATGTTACACATTTGGTGAGAGATTCTTCATCTTATGATGATCAGTAGATTGGATTCTCATCGTGAGCTTATCATGAAATCCCAGAACCTCAGCTCTCAGAGAAAAAGACTGAAATATTGATTCAAGTCTTGTCTATTAACAACTGTGAGATCAACATAGCTTGCAATGCATGTAATAATGACAAAAGTGAAACTCACTTACCAAGTTAGAGAGGATCACATTAAGCTTATTATAAGTCTTGTATCTATGCTTATACATCTTATGACGTTTTTAGGTTAGAATTGCTTCAGAGTTTATCATTTTGTTGCCTAATTTGATTTTTTAGCTCTAATTATTACAAAGAAATGTTTACAATAAAAAAAACAACAAAATTTTTTAATATTTTTATATATTTTTTAATATATATTTTTTCACAGAAATAACAAAGAAGAAATTGTTGTTGCAGAAAATAAAAAAAGGGATGGAGCAAAAGATAAAAAAGGAAAAACACCTTGAAGTAAAATATTTTTGAATCATTTAAAATACTAATCTGAGTCAAACAAATCAGTCTATTAAATTTCATAATTACAAAATAATGACTACAGTTTTACAATTCTGCTGATAAAATATGAAATGACTGAAAACAAGATGGAAGATCTGTTGAATGAAATCAACTAATATTTTAGCAATAGATCATAAAATTATCAATGAATGATCTATTATTGTTACTTTTTATCTTTTCTTTTTTACTTTGCTACTTTTGCTTCTATCTTTAATTAATTTAATTAAATTCTTATTGCTCTTATTTTTTAATATTTCTAAAGATTATTTTATTCCACATTAGTAAAACTGACATTAAAATGATTTCACTAAATTCAAAACTATTATGTGGGAGTCTGGATAATCAAAATCAGTTTTATTTACAATATTTTACTTGCTTTTATTTATTTATATATTTTAAGTGATTTTATCAATATTTTTTTCTTTCAAAACTTGGATTGTTATGACATAATATGAAGAAAATACTCAAGAGAACAAGAAAATAAATTACAATGATTTGTGCAACAAAGAATTAGTTTGTATTTGAAGTATTTATCAAAATCTTTTCCTTTTTACTTTTCTCTCTCCTTCTTTCCCTCCATTTAATTCTATCTTTCTTTCTCTTTCTTTCCTTTCCTTTGATTCTGTTTTCCTTTCTTCTCTTCTTCCTCCCTACGGTTAATTCTACTTTTTCTGTTTCTTCTTCCTTCCTTCCTTCCTTCCTTCCTTCCTTCCTTCCTTCCTTCCTTCCTGTTTGCTCTTCTTCTTTTCTCTCTCCCTCTTTCTTCTTTTTCACTTTCCTTTCTCCCCTTCCACTTCGCCTTGTTTCTTAATTTTCCTTCTCCTTTTCTTCCATTTTTTCTAACTTTCCATTCTCCTTCTCTCCTTTCCTTTCTACTTATGGAGTTTTACTGTTCACAAGCAGCAACTGAGTTTTCAATTCTACTTTGGATTATTGTTGTTGACAATATTTGCTGAGCTGCAGAAATGTCAGAACTATTGTTTGTCTCAGACAAAATTGATGAGATGTCCATGAAATTAGTTCAGCTCTACAACTTCACTATCATACACACAGAAAATTCAACAAGAAAATTTCTTCATGAAATATAATTTATCTTATATTTGTACAAAGTCAAATTCAAAAAGAAAGATTTTCAGTGTTGTATTAAAATAACTTATTTTGGTTCACTCCTTGATCTGAATTAAATTTATTTTCTAATTGTTTCATAACAAATAAAACATAAGGTAAAATGATATGAAATTTTATGCAATTAAATATTTTCTTATGATCAGGAAATACCAGGTAGAAATGTCTCTTGAAAATAAAAAGAAATTAAATACTCTGGGATTTTAAGATCCAAGCAAGAATGTATGTATGTGACAGTTATAAACAAAGAAAAGAAAATCAACCAAATTATGTATTCATGGATGAAACAAAAAACTAGAAAATTACCAGAACATCAATCAGAAACTAAGAAAACTGTGGAACATTGACTTCTAGGCTAAGTCTATAAATGCTGGTTCATTTAGAATGAAATCCCTAGAATTTTGAAAATGAAATGAATTTGAAATCTAAAGAAGGATTGAGACTCCCCTGTGGTACTCGAGTCAGCAAGAATACAAAGAAAGGTGCAAGAGATTTTTAAATTCTTGTTTTTTCAATCTCCAGTGATAATCACCAGACATGTGGATAATAATAATAATAATGATGATGGAGATAAAGAATGGATCAAAATATTTCAATTATGAAATAAATATTAACATCTTGACATAATCTTTGAAGAAACAACTCATATGATGCTTTATGAATAACCATAATTTATGCAAAGCACTTACAATTGATGATAGGAGTAAATTGTAAACATTTGATAATTGGATTTATTTTATCAATATGCCCACAAAAATCAAAACTGAGCAAATATTCATTACTTTCCTGTAATTGAAATGATGAATGAAAAAATGAAGTTGGACTGAGAAGTCAAATTCTAAAATTAGTAAAAATAACAGAAAAAATGGCTGACCAGATTTAGACAACAAAATTAACACATTACTGGATGGTTTGAATTTGAGTAGAAAAGCAAAATATTTATTTCAGTTTCAAAAAGTATGCAAAATTGTAGATTTTTCAAAATTATATAAAATTTTGAAAATAGTTTTGGAGAATTGATTTTAAATTTTTGATTTTTTTGTTGAAGTGGTTTAAAAGATTAATTGCATTGAATTATTTTTTTAAAATTTAAAATACGCAATAGCAAAAAGTGTAAAATGCAGAAAGGAATATCCTATTATTAAATAAATAATTGATACATATATATAAAATATAAGTTTGTATTTTCTTTTGTAAATAATTACTACCTCATTTTGTTTTCTTTTGGCAAATTTTAAATTATAATCTCTAATAAATGGCAGAAGTTGTGAATACAATCAAATAATTGTATAAAGAAAATAAGAGACATCCATTTTTAATTAGTTTTTATAAATATTTTTCAATTCTGAGTTTTATAGACTAAAGGAGTAGAAAAAGACTAATTGCAGGAAATCTTTTGAAGTTAAAAACAACAATAAAAGAAAATTAGATACTGAATATTGGTTTTCAAAATAATTTTGTTCAGAATGCTATCCTATGCTGATGATAATTTTGCATCTATTTTCAGGCTTCAATCATAAAAGCTCATTCATAAACCTGGATAGAACAAAGCAAATTTAGAAAGCTACTTAGTATCTCTCAAAGGCTATAAAAGCAATGAATTGACATTAACTATAAAACGTTTCAACCAGTAATTAATAAAATAGAAAGACATAAACTAAATGAAACAAGATGGACATAATTTTCACCCTTTTTGCAATGTTTGTGTATCAGTTGA